TTTAAAATGAGATGTTTATTCTCTTTTTGATTATGTTTATCTGCAGTTAGTTACACGAATTCAAACATGGAGCTTTAATAAGTTGTATTTATGCATAATTTACTTGTAATCTTGAATTTTAAGTAATATGCATCAATATATAGTACTTCATGCATAAAAAATGATTTTTAAGAGTTTTTATCAAATGTTTTATAATATAGTATATATATATATATATAAGTAGACTGTCTCATATGATTGACAACTGTTCCTAAGAGATATGAATTTAGTTAATAACAAAAAATCTACAACATTCTGAAACAAAATAGAAATCATGTAGATAGAATAATCAAAAGAGCTAGTGGTAGATGCATGATGGAAATATATCAAGATTTTTGAGGCAAATAGTTTGACTTTCGTAGTAGATAAACTTAACTATATAGACAAACAAAAAACAATACTGTAAATGAACAACGTATTAACTTTTTACATATTTTCTTTTCTAATATAAATAATTAATGGGAAAATTGCATCAAAATAGAACCAACTTTCACTTAATTCCTATTTTTGGGAACCAACTTTCAAAATCGTCATTTTGGGAACCAACTTGCACTTGATTCCTATTTTGGGGAACCAACTTGCAAAATAATTATAGAAAAATAAATAAATTCGTTTTTTTTTTCAAAAATTAATGCGATAAAATCTATTTTTCATTTCAAATCTCGTTTTTTTTAATTCAGATATCAAATTGAAGATTTTTTTAAAAAAATCCAAATTACCACAATAAAAATTTGTTTTTTACTAATGCAATAAAAAATTAATTTAATAGAAAAAAATTAATTGATGCAAAAAAAATAAATATTAAATATCACATTCAATATTTTTATACTAAATACTAAAGTTTAAATCAAATTTGGCAAATCAAACCAAAGTTTGATAGAGACCCTTAAATTACATGTTATATGTTCAACAGATCAATCAGACTGTTAAATAAACAAAAAGTTTGATAGAGACCCCTAAATAATGATTTTGAAAATTGGTTCCCCAAAATAAAAATCAGGTGAAAATTGGTTCCATTTTTGTGCAATTTTTCTATAATTAATACATGTTTAAACCCTTAATATAATACTTAATTTTTTTTGGATTCTATTTTAAAGACTAAAAAAAATTATGTCTTTTTTATTTACCACTATTGATTTAGATTTATTTGATAATAAGTGGACTTTTTATATTTGGAAGAATATTAGGTTTTGACTTTAATTTCATCATCCTTTGATATATTTTTTTATTTATTTAGTAATGATGGAACATCCTAATTTCTAGTAGATGATGACGTATCGACGGATACAATACTATGGGTTAAACTTCATATAAACCATTTTACAACTTAAATATAACATCATATATATATATATATATATATATATATATATATATACTAGAAGCGTACCGTGCAATGCAGCGAGACACATCGTGTTTTTAATATTTCATTTTATTCTTTATCTCAGTCGATGTTAT